AAAGAGTAATGGAGAACCATGCAAAATGTCCGATCTGTGAATAGGCAAATGCATCTTTAAGTAAGAATAATTTGAATTCTTAGTATATAGCCAAAACAATGGGTTGGTATCACAGATACTTTGTAGGATAGCCCAAAGGACAGGAATATTGATATAGAAGGATAGAGAAAAAGAGGATGGTTATTACATTAGAAAGGATGAGTGTTTTTATATGATCTGGTATTTAAGAAAGAGTTCTTATCACCTGAATGCTCTTTAAAAACACTCTGTAAGGAATCACACAAGTTCTTGTGGTGTGGTAGGGTAATGTTTTTCTGAGAGAGAATGAGTAAGGTAAAGAATATTTTCAGAAGTTACATGCATTTCAGAGTGGGTAAAGCCTGGATTATTTGGAAACCTGACCCGAATGGGGTCTGAACCTCTAGGGATTAACAATCGATGTTACTCCAGAGGGCTGCAGTACCGTAAAGGCAGCCATATTGTTAAGGTTTGTAAAGTAAGGATTAGCATTCCAAATGTTATAATTTAGGAAAAAAAGATCTAAAAAGTTGAAGAACTGAATACGTTCACAGTTGGCTACCTGGAGGGAAAGCAGAAAGATGACTTGGGAAATAAATGCTGCGCAGCAGTACTATTCAAAAGCATCTGAATGTTTAATGTGTCAGCTATGTGAAAGTAAACATGAAGGCAAACTTTCTTCAGGGCTGTATTATGTAGGATTATTGCAAGCAACGTATGGATCGTCATTCCTTTTGGTTGGCTTTGGGCGTTGGACTTTCAGATGTGTGTAAACTAGAGAGAAACTAGAAGGTAGAAAAGTGTGGACGGCATGACTTGTGTGGAAGAGGTGAAAGAATTGTGTTTGCTTATTCTAGAAAAAGAGAAGTCCCAGATGAGTGGGATGTAAGGTTCCTGCAATGTAAAAAAGGAATCATCAGTTGGCTTTTTTCCTTGAATCTAAAAGAAAAAAGGACAGGAACTTATTCACCATCCTTGGAGAAAAATGGAGGTTGGAACACTTACATAGATTGAACTCTGTCTGTCCCTTACATGCATGTGTACATGTAGTTTGTTTAAACTCGCCTACTTAAGGGCACCAGCCTCAAGTATTCTCCTAGGTAATACCAAATTTCTCTCGTATCGGATTTTGTTACTTTTTTCCCCAAGCATCCAATTTTTGGCAACTGTTGCGGGACTCTACTGGACTAGAGAGGGCAATTGTTATCAGAGATGGTAATTCTGCTGCTTATGGTAAGCTGCAGTTTTCCTCTTCAGGCATGGTTGAAGTAGCTGAATGGACTTCCATCTAGGCTGCAGGCCAACCAAGTTACAGGCCCGCTCACTGATGAGCCTGCAGTTTTGCTAGAGTTTGGAGGTGAGATCTCTTGGGCAGTGCTCTCCCTCAACAGTAGTCTTTGCTGTTCTTGAAGAGAAAAGAAAGCAGAGCTTTCATCGTGATCATAGTGCTTCCAAAATTATTTGTAGCTCGCTCTCAGTTATCTTATTATTACCATCCCCATTTTTTTCCTTAATTATTTTGTGATCATTAACGTTGTTGGAGTTGCTGCATATTTAACTGTGGATAACTTGTACATCATAACCTTTATAGTACTTAGGTAGAATGTGCCTTTCTTACTTGAGTGGAAGGAATCAATGAGGATTTTCAGCTGGCAAAAATTTTGAAAATGTTGTCAATGTTTGTTTTTCACAGTAAAGTTCCTGGTTTTGTAAGGATGATTGCTCCAGAAGGCTCCCTGGTGTTCCACGAGAAGGCTTGGAATGCGTATCCCTACTGTAGAACAAGTAGGCCTCCCGTTGTGTGTTTTGCTGTCAGTGTTCAGTCGAGGGATGGTCTTTAGATGTTTTAGGAGAAAAGAGGGTGCCATCAAGTGGGAAATATATTTCAGATTTTAATGTTGTGTTTGTGAGATCTCTTTGAAAACGAGAGCTGCTTCTGAAGAGCAGCCTCAGTGGACCAGTTTACTGGTTGTTACAGAGTCTTAGTAGTCAGTGTTCCTGCGATAAGACTGAAGAGATGATTCTCTTAAGGTCTAGAAAAGACCCTGTTTGAAAAGAATTTAATTCTTCATAGTCTGTTAGAATAAGGTGACTGCTTTATTTTAATACTTTTAATTGCGTAAGTTCTAAGAGTAGGCTCTATTTCTTTCGTGTTTCTGTTGAATAGTTATAATGAACTTTTAAGGATAGCAAGTCAGTCTGCTGAAATCTGCTGACTTGATGCACACAAATGCATTTTTGAATGCATTTTGAATTTGACTAATTTTGCATTTTGACTAATTTTGAATGTTTCTTATACTGTGAAGCAATCATATGTGAGACTTTTCAGAAACAATTGTATCTAACAACTCTGTGTTTCCTTTTCATTTTCATGGCGTGTGCTTCCAATGACCAGTTGTGACAGTGAGTATTTTAATTACTATCAGTCCTGTGGTTTTTTTGAAACATATTTTATCTGTTATTACTGCTACAATTGACTCTGACTCTCTAGCAAGCTAACTCCCACCTTTTATATATGCCTTGCTAGGGTTTCTGGCATAGAGCTACTTGTTACTTTGTCTGCATATGGCTATAATTAGAAAGAACTGTAATTTGTCAGAGCAATGCTTTCATTTTTTACATCTTCTTTTATGCCTTTATATACCATAACAGCTGTATAATGTCTGCCCTGGTAAGACATGATGCTAAAAAAGAAAAGAAAAAAAAAAAAGCCCAGTCAGAGGTTTCTACACTCTTGAATGCAGGAAGAGCAATGAAATAAAATCAGTCCCTAACTGTCTGAAATCCTATTTCTGTAAAGTGAAATCCTGCCTCAGTTAAAATGGGTTAACTGAGAATCTAAATGGATCATCGTAGCTGGGGGTTTGGGGTTTTTGCTTTTTATTTAAGATGTGTGGGAAAGAGATCATTTAAGACTTTATTTCCGTGTGTATACATTTTGGTGACCTGTTTAAGGAAGCTTATAAGTTTAATGTTAAATTGCTTTATCTGCTCACTTGCAGACTTGATTTAGATTGTCGCTAGGTGGATGCAATATAAGGAGTAACAAATGAGTTTGTGAACTGTTTATCTTGAATCATCATAATACATGTGCACACTGGTGTATGCTTTCTTACTTCTGAAATTAGAAGTGTTCTGTGCTAGTCTTTAGACATGCAATTTAATGGTAACTGGACCTTTATGGTCATAATTGTGCTATACAGTAACATCTAATGTTTATTAGCTGTTACCTCTGCCTCTCAGAATAATCTCATTTATTAAAAATTCAATGCAAATGTATTTTAGTTGTTTTGTCTTAACTGCAGTATTAATAATTTCAAAATTACTTGAACATAGAAGTAAAGAATTTCAGGGTAGAGGAAGAAGGATGGTAAAAGAGTATTTCTATTTGTATGCACAGAGTTAGAGTTGGATTTCTCAAACATGACTAGTTTTAATTTAGTACTTATGCTGTAGCTGGTAATTAAGATTTAGATACTCTATCTCATGTACCTATTTCTATGTGTAGGTAAGGGGGCTGTTTCTTTTGTAATTTAAATAGAACATGTTGCTAGTCAAGGCTTAGTAGTGAATTATATGTAAATACCTTTTATCTAAACTTTAAGCAGAGGGGTGTCATCAGTCTCATGCGCTTTGATTTTAATTCTTACAGAATGAATACATGAAAGATGACTTCTTTATAAAAATTGAGACCTGGCATAAACCAGATTTGGGGACATCAGAGAACGTGAGTTGGGACTTGGATACCAAGCATTAGTAATATTTTCAACACGTAGTCATCCAGATAAAGTATTCTATACCTGGTAATGGTGGATAATTATTGCATAAAGTCAAAGCCCTACCAGTGATTAAAGTAAACCAAGAAAAGCATTATTCAAATCCTTCTAAGGTGGTCAAGCTGTCTCACCGAACGAGATGCAAGAACAAGAGAAGGTTTTTATTTTTTATGTTGAGGTCAATGCAGATGCTTGATTCTCACTCAAATATTTAAACAAATTTTCAGTAAGTTCTTTTTAGTTTCATATTCTTTTACCTTAGACATGCTAGTGCTACTCTAGGCTGACAAGTTTGTTTGAAAACAGGTTTCACAGCATGTTTCAGAAGGCTGTTAGAGTTTACCCATGTACACTTCTGTAGAGTTATGTGTTGAAGCTGCTTCTGTAAATTTTGAAGGCTGGTGCTACTCTTTTTCCTCTCTAGACAGTTGATTTGGTTCACAGGTCTCTTCAGATTTTTTTTTTTGTCTATAGTGACAAACATAGTTATAAATCATCCACAAAGGAGTAGTTGTCAGTATATTTCCAGTGCTTGGATGAACTGTAACACTGGATGTGCTACAGAGAAGGAGAGTATTTCTTGGACAGCTCTGCTTGCTATAACTGTAAGTTTAGCTATGCCTAATGGACTACAGGTGTGAAGCTGATTACATCTTCAGACCTTTATATACCTTCATACCACACACACGCTTCATCCAGTCCATATTAAAGGCAGCCCTATGATTTAGGGAACCTACTAGATTTAGTCAGGTTATCAAACCCTGCCATATTCGCCCTTTGGAATTTGTGCAGTTTCTTTCTAGATCAAAAAGCTCCTGCAGATTACTGAATGGGTAATGTTTCTCATTAGAGCTTGATTTCATTAGCGCTAATGAGTGACAGAAGAATACAGCTTAATCTTAAATCCAGGTTTCCTGAATGCACAAGAAGTGAAGGCTTTGTGCTGGTTTAAAATTAGTTAGTGAGTGAATAAAACTGTAACTGTGAAGATTATTCTCTTTTAGAAAGCCAAGGAAGAAAAGACAGGTTTTGAGAACACTACCTTTATGAAAGCCAGAAAAAATCCGTGGCGCACATATGTACTGCATAAGGTGCACCACTGTGTAAGGTGACAGCATGGAAATCATTCATTTTTCTCTTCTTGCAGGTGCACAATTTAGATCCAAACACATGGAAGAGTGTTGAAATTGTCCATATTGACATTGCAGATAGAACTCAAGTAGAACCAGGAGTAAGTAAATGCTCTGCTATTAGGATATGGATGTAGCATGCAGCTAATTCCATTGGTGCTTTGTGTTGACTGCAAATGAAATAAAATGTTATGGATTTTACACAACAGATAAATGAAAATTGTCTTGAATAGAGTCATTCATTGCTAAGTTCCACGCTTAGGAAATGCGTTTACAACTTCAGTCTACTGAATTTGACTTCTAGTTGCACAACTAAGACATGAAGGACAACGGACTTTTGGCACAGATGTAGTTCTTACTTTTAATTGTAGATAAAGTAATTGATTTGGTCAAGTAAGCATTTATGTGCTCATCGTGGTACATGAGACCAAGTGCAAGAATCTGTGCCAGCTGTCCTGCGTGACAGACCACAGTCTCTCCACCAAGATACTCCTGTGCTTCTGCTGCTACTTCTTGGTTACACATTCATTAAATTAAATTCTGTCCTTCCACACATCCTTCACTCTGGGTTTATGGCAGTCTCAAGAGGATCAATCAGGTTTTGCCATTGAAATCTAGGTCTGGTTGGTTTTTTTTTAATTTTTAAACTTTGTTCATCAGAGTAGTTCTCAAGACATGAATAGTTCATCTCTTCTGAAAGCTGTGGGATTACTTTTTCAGTTTGTCTTTAGTGATTGCTTTGGCAAACATAAGTGTCCTGGATACACCCAGAAGTCTGTCCATAGGAGTCTGTGGTCTTTTCCCCAAGAACCTGAAGCTTAATGTCTTGATATGAGAAGCAAAAATTTGGAAGGACAGGTTTTATTAGTAAGAGGAGATGGTTACTCTGTGAATTTGTGTGCAGAACATAGGTATAAATTTGGAAGGAGTGTCTCTACTAGGATTGTGTGGAGTCTGTGTTAGCTTGCTTTCACAAGTGATGGAAGTAGGCAGCTAGATGAAGAAGTGAGCGTGGCAAAGTTTAGTGCTGGGCATGCACACTTTCAACTTGCCTTTTCAATAGCACTTTGCACAGAAAAACCAGTGGTACCCTGAATGTGATTGTATCAAATTCTACTGAAATAAATACATGAAGGGATTTCTAGGTAAGCTTTATCTGCTGTGTTGAGATTTTGCTGACAGAACAAGGCTTAATATTTGTAATAGTTCACGTTCTTTTCCTCTCGTGTCAATTTTTTGTTATCCAGCTCATAGTCCTACGTTTGGGTTGGAAGGGACCATAAAGGTCCTCTATTTCCAATGACCCTGCCGTGGGCAGAGACATTTTTCCCTAGGCCGGGTTGCTCACAGCCCCATCCAACCTGGCCTTGAACACTTCCAGGGATGGGGCGTCCACAGCTTCTCTGGACAACCTGTGCCACTGCCTCACTGCCCTCATTGTAAAAAATTTCTTCCTTATATCCAGTCTAAATGTACCCTCTCAGTTTAAAATTGTTGCCTCTTGTCCTGTCACTACAGGCCTTGGTAAAAAGTCTTTCTCCATCTTTCCTGTAAACCCCATTTATATATTGAAAGGCTGCTCTAAGGTCTTCCCGGAGCCTTCTCTTCTCCAGGCTGAACAACCCCAGCTCTCTCAGCCTGTCCTCACAGCAGAGGTGCTCCAGCCCTCGGATCATCTCCGTGGCCTCCTCTGGACTTGCTCCAACAGGTCCATGTCCTTCTTGTGCTGAGGACCCCAGAGCTGAAGGCAGTACTGCAGGGGGGAATCTCACCAGAGAGGAGCAGAGGGGCAGAATCCCCTCCCTCGACCTGCTGGTCATGCTGCTTGGGATGCAGCCCAGGGCATGGTTGGCTTTCTGGGCTACCAGTGCACATTGCCGGGTCATGTACAATTTTTCATAGTGTGTGTGATTAATCTGAATAAGAAGGTAGGATACGTTGATTTTAGATACTGGTTTATGCAACTTGAGAGGGCAGCTTCACCATACTTATTTATGTGCCTGCCTGCCTTGTTTTTACTGCTATTGCTTTCTACACATCTGTATCTACTGGGGTTGTTGTCTGATTTGTTTAATTGTAACAGCTGGACTGTTCTGTCTGTAATCGTTAATTTTCAGATAGTAGGAAAATGGTATGCAGTAATAGCGACACCAGTTTGTGTTTACACAGTAAGTTTGATTGTGTCAATTTTGTGCAAGGAGGTGTTCTTTATACTGTTGTTATTTTCTGAAAATAAATACTTGGATATCCTGCATTGTGGGGAGAGAACTCTTTTGCAGGGAAGGTGGGAAAAGACTGCGGTGTGTGAAGGGGAAAGGTTTCTGCTTCTTAAATTTTCGTTTGCGGTACCAACATAGGTATATAACCTGCAGTGTTGCTTAACTGATGTTTAACAGATGATCTGTGGATTTACATATGTGAAAATACATTGTTTGGAGAATGTCCCTGTAAACCAAATTAAATGTGTCTTACCTATTTTAATGCAGTGAGGAGTCGTTTTGCTGCCCTTTGTTCTTTCAGACATTCCATATGACCTTAGAGCTGAACTGGCAGATAAATGTATGTTGTGCATTCCCTATTCCATGCCTGGAATTGTGGCACACAACTACAGTGCTGTGGTCTGTCAGAGTGTTTGCTTGATCACAGTATGTATAAACAAAGGGTTGTGCTTATTACTGTGTGTTGAACTTAAGTATTTATTCTGTTTGAACTATTCTTAGTGAACAACACTGCTTGTGCTGTATGCCCTCTTGCACCATTAGATTACATGGCCTGCCTTTGGTATTGCCAGGTTCCTTTGTACTGAAGACTGACAGATGGTGGGTGGTATGCTAAAAGAAGTTATATTTTTGGCTCAGGACAAAGATCCATCTAACCCACTGTCCTATTAGTGGCCAGCAGCAGATATTTGTGGAAGGATAAGAAATATTTGGAAAGTATATACTAGAAGCTAGGAGATGTGTATCTCTGAAAGATCAATCTGTACTTAAAGGACTCTCCGGAGTTAGTGGTTATATCTGGCCTGTTGTGTTTATTAACCACTTATAGGCCCATGAGCACATCTAATCCATTTTTGAACCCATTTATACTTTTGACCTTTAAGGCATCATGAATTCTGGAGGGCGTTAGATGGTATGGAGAAAAAATACTTCCTTTTTGTCTGACTGATAATTTATTGGGGGGGGGGGGGGGGGGGGGGAGGAGTGGGCAGCAAGTGTTTCCTGTTTATATTTTCTGTACAATTTATCTTACAGATTTTGATCATCTTTCCTTTTTCTTCCCCCACCCACTCTTTCGCATATCTTTCCAAGCTGAGGGTCCTTATCTTTAAGTCTGTCTTCATGTAGAAGCCACTTCATGTGAGGAAGTCCTTGGAACATTATCCTCTTTTCTGTTTTTTTTTTTTTCTTATTTCTTTTGTGTATTTGACCTACATAGTATCTAAACTATGAGTGCAGAGTGGTTTAATCTAGAGTCTTAAGTCTTTTCTGATGTTTCTGCGTTTCCTTTTTTTTTTTTAGTAACTTCTAACACCATTTGTGCTTTTAGCAAATATTTTGAGCAAATATTTTTCAAATTCCACTCACAGTATAGCCCATCATTGTGTAGGAATACTTGGGACTAATTTTCACCATGTGATTCAAATTTTCATTTCCATTTCATCTCCTAGAAATTCAGTTTTGTGAAGTCCTGACTTCATTAAACAAAGACTGACTTTGTACTCAAACTGTTATGCAAACTTTGGTAACTGAGTTATCTGTAGGCTGACACCCTTTCTGCTCCACTTGCTTGCCCCCTTTCCTAGATAGTTAAGGATTAATTAGTAGAAATTCTCTGAGACCCATACTTGTAGTCTCTTGTGTTATGAAAATTTGCAGTTTCTGACCTTTGTTTTCTCTCTCTTTACTGCTTATGACTCCATGAGAGAAACCTTCCATTTAGGCTTATATCTTTGTGAAGTTTAGGTAATGGAACTTGAGGGATTTTTTTTGGAAGTTCAGCTATACATCATAGTAACAAAATTACCCTGATGTACGTGCTTACTTTATACCTTCAGAAAAGGCTGCTGGTTTTGGAAAGTAAATGTCGCCTATGAAGGCATTAGTTGTTTTGCATGTATTCCATTTGTCCAGAGGTTCTTTTCCTACAGTTTCTTCATCTTTGTTCAGTGATACTAGAGCAGTCACTAGTTCACTTTGTCATGTAGTTTCTGAGAGATCATGTGTGTGGTATGGCTTTTTTTTTTTTTTTTTTGTGCTTGTCGTTTTGGAATTATCATTCTAAGTGGCTGGGTAGGTTTTTTGGTGTGCTCATTTTTTTTTTTAGGGAAAAGGAATAGTCAGTGTTGCCAAAGGAAAGTTTTGTTTGTACATTCGTTTTCTCGATCATAGTTTTGCCTGGAGAAGCAACTCAAATGCAATATCTTGGATAACAGTATGGCTGAAAGAATGGAGCTACATTTATAAGATCCATCAATTTTGATAAAAGTTTTCATATATTGAAGATTTATCCTTTTGTTAAGTGAATGAACCTTGTCCAACCCATTGTAGTGTAGCAATTACTTTAGTTTCAGAACTACAGTCAGCATAAGTATAAAAATAGTAAATTTCTTTAAGATACTAATGGTATGCATATGCTAACTCATGCTCATTTAAGTACATATAGAAATAATTTGGCTGACATCTGTGGCTTTCTTTAGATAGAAATTTAACCCTGCCGTGTCTTAATCATCTCCAGCATTTGATCTATGTAGCTTTATGTCATTTGTATCTAAAAATCACTTCCCAGGAGAGTAAGACTTTTTAAAGAGTAAGCAGAAGTGAACACTCAATTAGCATCAGAAGAGGTGACATTTTTGGAAACAATTTGTAAGAAAGTAGAGTGTGGTGAAAACAAAGAAATTGAAATCAGGCTTGTAGCTATTTTTGTACAATGAAGAAATCAAATATCTTGTTCTAGGTCATAGTGGATCTTCGTTATATTACTTGAAACAAAGTTCTAAAAATACGGTTTTATACAAATCGGTCAAATTACTTAACACATGCCTTAAAAGATAGGATTTTTATGTGCTGTGCAGTAAGTACTATGCCTTGTTCTACAG